TTAGCAAAATCAGCTAAGTATAAATGAAACAAAGCTAAAATATGCTATAATTACCCTAAAACTAAGCTATATCATGTGAAACAACCAAAACACCAATTTGTGAGTAAATCATACACTTAAGCCAAATGACCACGAAATAACGGAAGGAAGTATTACCCATTAACGACTTCACTGCTGGTTTCAAGCAATCCGAGCAGGGGCAATATCGTCACACGCGCACTGGTTCATGCTCGAAAGACAGAAACAACGGCTTCCTATAACGATAACGACCATAGCTTGGCTGAAGAGTCGAATACCAAACGATACCTCAAAGCTATGGGGGCTACTACCCGGAGACATTGAGGTTTTGAACAGAGAAGAAAGGGTCTGAGACCAATCAAGCGGAGGTGACCAATCAACGGCATGAATTCAGCCTTCGACTCTGAAGGTAGTGGATTGAGGCAGGTAATAACGAAAGACAAGCCCGAGTTTGGAAAGAATCGGAAAAGAAAAACAACTAAGTTTTCTTGACTTCTTAGATTTGAAATTCGGGGAGTTTGGATGATTATTTGGGGAAACTGGTAAGGGATTTGGGATTAGGGAAGTGTGGAGATTATAGGGTGAAGATTTGGGGTTGTTTGGACGGTGACCACCGGCCGGTGGGGGTGAGGGATTTGGGGGCGGCTAGGGTTTCATTGAGTGAGAGAGATGGAGAAGTGAGAGGGGTCTGAGGGGTTTGGGGGGGTCTCCGACATATATGAGGGATTAGAGAGGGAGTTGTGAACCGTTGGATGAGATGGGTTGAACGGCTGGGATTAGCGTTACTAAACGACGCCGTTTTGGGTTAAGTGAGGGATGGAACGGACTGAGCTTGGGGCGAGTTGGGTTTAAAGGAAAATTGGGCCAACGCTAAGGTTTTGGCCCAATTCGGAAATAAACACTGCCTTTCACATTTTTCTTTTCCTTGAATTTTTAAATCCTAATAAAATTGATCAAAAACCTAAGTTAAGTTCTAAAAATAATCTAATTTGTAGAATTGAATTAATTATCTATTTCTAACATCAAAATAATTAATTAACTTAAAACTAATGAAATAAAAAAAATACTAATTTTAAAACTAAAGGTTAAATATGTAAAAACGACCATTTTTGTGATTTTGTTTAATAATGCAATTAATTCATGTAATTATATCTAATATACAATTAAATCTAAGATGCTATGCAATGAATATTTTATACATTTTTTATACTTTTCATAATTTTGAATATTAAATAAGCAACTAAATGCAAACAAATCATGTGCTCACATGCCCCTATATATGTTTAGAAAGATCTAATTTAGAAAGATCTATTTTTGAACTTTGTAGGAGTAATGTTAGTTGGGCAAAAATCACGTGCTCACACGCCCCTATATATGTTTAACCAAAAAATAATTTATGTGGTCAAAGTCAATATTAAAAAAAAATCGGGTTTCTAATAACTACGTTTACTTCACTTTGCCAAAATTAAGAGAATAAAATAAGCAATTGAAATGATAAACGGACGAAAGAAATCTTATTGATGATCGTTGTTTTCTCCCAATAATTGTGAACAAGAATTTTCAATCAAATACGATATAAAAGTAAAGCAATGACTGCATACATTCGTGAGTATTAATCTGATGATCGTACAAAATAAGGTAAGGACCTTTATATACGGATACAAATATGTAACGATTTTTCCTCACTTAATTCTTACCCGTTATTAAAATTTACTGCATTAATTGGCCGTTACTGAAATTACTCATAACGATTATGGTGATAATAGGCGATCGCGCATAATCAGGGATAATGATGATTCTCTTTCCATATTCGTTACTGTTTATGAATCTTCCCCTTTTTATGGCCTCCATGTATCTCGTGCTTATTTTTTCTTTTCAAATTGTTAGGTACGATACCTTCTTCAACAAATCCCGTGGGTGTTTTCACCGTGCCTCATCATTGTTTTTTTATTAATATGATACAAATACCACTTGTCACCATATTGTCAATCCATGTGTCATGCCTAGTTTTCCACCAATACAGGTAATCCCCCACTCTCTGTATATTGACTCAACTAAATAGTCAAAAAGTGGTAAGTTCATTTATGGCGGGAATGTCTTGCCGCCTCTTCCCAGCATCATTATGTTTTCTTCTGAAGCGAAGAGACGCACGTCCTCTCTATTTAATGCTCGAGACACGTGTCATATTATGATTGGTTCTATAGTTTTAGTGTCATTTTAGGGTTTTCTGCAACTGCATCAGTTTGAAGTCACGATTCTACGATGATGGTTCATAATGACGATTCTTCCCTATAAATACTACATTACATACCGCCCAAAAATTTCTTCTTCTTTCTTTCATTCATACCTAAACTTCCTCTGAAATTTTTCTCCTTTCTTTGTGCTTTCACCATTAAAAATGACTTCCCGTTCTTCGAGCCCTTCTTCATCATCAGACCCTCGTAAAATAATCATTGTTCATGAATTTCTTCCTTTTTCTGCCCCAGTTAGGAGTAGAAGAGGCGCTAGCCTTCGTAGCTTAGGTTCTATATCAAGCCGTAGCTCTACTTCTTCTCAGAAGAACACTTCAAAACCTTCTTTTTACAAAGCCAAAACTCCTTCTGCCCCTAGATCCTCCTCTAGAGGTAAAGACCATAATGAACCGTTGCAGAACCTGTTGTTTCTAAAATTGTCCCTCAAGAATTTTCTTTCATATCGGACTGTAAGGCTATGAGAAAACATGTTTCTTCCATAGCAACACTTAACAATGTTGGTCATTACCCTACATTGATCACTCCTAGTCTTCTTCCTCTAGTTCGTCGTGAATGCCACTAGAAACCTAATTTCCCTGTGCTAGCTCCTAGGCCCGATAGTGTGAAGGATTCAATCCACCTATCGACTGAGTGATCATTAAATTTTGTTTTTGTCAAATAGGCCTGATAGTGTGGAGGACAGTAGTTTGCCTTCGTTATTTATCAAACTTAGTTTCAACTCCTTTTTCTTTTCAACACTTACACCATTTGTATTCCTAGAAGATTTTCCGCGAAGGCATTTTTTCTCCGTGAATGATCGTAATCGTGGCTGATATTAATTATTACATACAATTAGTTTTAAAATTAATCTACAATAGTTTTAAAAACTTTATATGATGAATTATATAAGCTGAACTCCTATAAATAATTGGTCAATAAATAAACCGTCTGCATCTAAAAGTTGGTTACTGACAATGTAAAGCACAACGTCCGACAGCTTTATCCCTCTTATACGTATTTAATCCACTTAAGTATGATCAAGCTATATTGCCTTTGCTCTTCTTTTCTTTTTTGCATAAAGTGTAAAGCTTGTCTTTAAGTACTCCATTAAATAGAAGGAAGTATGGTCTTCGTCTTGGAATCCACAAATTTGCTGTAACATTCTTCAAAAAACCAGACCCGTTATTTATGGTTGGCATTGTTTAATCCTCGGATTTATTTTCTAAAAAATAAAACATTATAAAAATCCTTAAACTTTTCTCTTTTCCTCTTTGACAAACACAAGGGGGAAAGTAATATCTAAGAGTTAATAATATCACAGCTTCATCAATTTGAATAGAGTTTAAAATCCTTAGTTTTTTTTCTTTTAAACAAAGCAAACCAGATTACCACATTTTTACACATTCTAAATATACTTTTAATATAATATGAATGTAATATATTTTTCTTAGAGTTCCACTTAATCGTTTTGCCTAACCTGAATCGAATATTTCCTTTCTGTTTTAGCCCTTCAAGTTCAAGATAAATAGGGAAGAACTAGCAGGTGATGAATTTTTTGAGAAAGTCATTGCGGTAATTTGAAAATCAGTACCAATTTAAGCCATAATATAATTTCTTTTATTTTTATAAAACTTTGTACTCTTATACTTATTCAAGGAACTAACGGACAACACCTCACATAGTAATACAACTTTATGTTTGAATGCTTCAATTAGTTGGATAAAGAAACTCATATATAAAGAGCCTGTAGAAGATTCAACCTTCTATTCGAACTTTATGCAAAAGTTGAGCATTTCGTTTTTCTCCCTTTTGTTAACAGCTATTATTAGCAATGCCTTGTCACAGCAAGTTTTATATTCACCGAGTTTTATATATCTCTTTGGGAATTTTTGGCTTATCAAAAAATAAACTAATTCGAACACAAACAAAAAAATGTTGACAAGCTAGTATGTTTTATTGTAATATAGGAGGGACAATGTTAGTATCAAGCCTTGAATAAACAATGTTGTCTTTCTATGTGTAATTTCGACGAATAATGAGGAGTTTACTAGAAATAGAAATCAAATATGTTTTGAAAGTTGAAAAGATACAAAACAAGAATGCATGGGTATAGAGGAAGTCTGACCAAGTCAAAAAAATGAACAAGGAAAGCACTACCATATCACAACTACCAAAAATGTTTCCCACTCCACCCTTTCAAATATTGTACTACTACACCCCAATAACGTCCTTTCAAATGAAAGAGGAGAAACGACGTCGCTGAGTTGCATACCAGGGCCCCATCGACTCAAATCCTACTCGTACGGCACAGTCACGCAAAAGCTGCAATCTTCTTTCGTATCTCTCTTTTCTTTTAACCTTTCACTTTTCCATCATCTTTGAATCTTTACTGCAATTGTGCGTACTCAAGTTATTAGCTTAAAACTTTAATTCCTGTTAATTTGGTCTTCCATTACACTTGTACTCATGTTTATCAAGTTTTCAAAAGTTAGAAAATTAATAAAAAAGATTAATGAATAACACATTTAGTTTGAGCCCTCTTAGTATAGAAAGGGCATTTTCCTCCCAACTCATTTTTTTCACTAATGCCAGAGTTTTCTATTGCAAACTGATACCATATGAGCATAGATATACAAGGGTGTTGAACAGAGTTCAATCTTTTATGTGAAAAACTTAGAAAACATCATCTGATTATTGTAATATATATATATATATATATATATAGCGATATGCATTACAAGGAGGGTTATGGATCTGCATCTTCAAGCCTACAAAGTTTGGCCATTGCAATGAAATTTTAAAGCTCACCCCCAAACACAAGATGCATTCCACTTATTATACAAACAAAAATTGAGGGAAACTCCCCTGTTCTAACCCCTATGTGCTGCTTGATCTTCTTTATAAGGCAACAAAAACAAAATACTCCCAAGGCCATAATCGGCATTAACACTTCATATTCTAAATAGACTAAGCTTAAGGAAAATTAAACATCACTTATTGCCTTTCTTCTGATTACCAGGAACCGTTTCCTTGTAATTCAGACATTTTGTTTTTCACAAAATACTGACTTTGGATATTCTATCACTGAACTAACCTATTTTCTACTTGCAATCCTTCCTAACACCAAAAGGGAATTTATAACCAAAAGACACCATTTGCTGATAAACCTTTGAAGCTAATAATAAAGAAAGTCAGTACGTCCATTCTTGAGGAAGGCGTACTTCAAGATTAATTGTTCCTTCTTGTTGTAGATTTCTCCTCTGTTGTGCAAGCAGTGCATTTCTCCTAGCCATTATTATTTCTGCACAACAATATCATTAGAGTTGGACGCATAAATTAATTTAAGACAGAAAATTCACTTGTTACAGAATTTATGCATACCATATTCAGAAACATTGAACCGCGGCAGTTGAAGATGAAGCTGAGGCTGGTGCTGGGGGTGAGAAGGAATGCCATTTAAACCATCAACGTTCTTATTCAAAGACTCAACAACCCTAGCAGGAAGCCAAGCAGTGGAACATACTGTATATGCAGCAGAGGCAGAAAGCAGAGCATTTAATACAACTTGTTGCTTTGTAAAAATGGACATATGAAACTACTAAAGCAGATACTAATAAAACCAGATTTACTTCCTGGAACAACAATAATTACCAACAGGAATGTCATTAAGCGAACTTTCAATGTGTCTATTTAATTTTGAATTAAAATGAACTTGTAATCTGTCAAACTCAGAATAGAAAAACAAAAGACAAAAGATAGTATACCGTAGGGAAAAATAAATGCCAATGCAGCAACAAGTCATAAAGCAATAAAGCACCACTTTTCCTTTATTTCTTCTAATTTCTGGCATTTTCTATATTAGCCGAAAGGGGGTTTTAGAGTGGAAAATAAAATCAAAAACCAGCTCAGATTCAACGAGGAACAAGGACAAAACAGCAGAAAAAGAAACTGCAATGTGGCAGCTCCGACTTGACAGCGACGGGACCTAGCTAAGAACGAGGGAAAAAAAGCCTGCATTTCTTTATTTGATTGGACGAGTTATTTCCATTTTCCATTTTATTAAATTTTAAAAAATCAGAAAATATGAATAGTCCAAAGCAAATTGCTTTACTTTCCTGGGTTCAGCTTTTTCAGTAGCAACACACTAGGCAAACATTGAGATAATACCCACTAGTTCAAAAATAATTGAAAATAAACAACTGGAACAGAAACGAAGTACCTGGTTTCTTGCGTGAATCAGTTGGATTCTGACTACAATATCTCCTCGGCAGAAAAACGCCAGTGCCAGTGCACTCCCTCTTCTTCACAACGCCACTGTTACCAGATCCACCTATGTGACCCGCCCGCATACCCGACCCGGAATGTCGTTGATAGTGCTTTTGCTGCTCAAATGGCAGACCAGACCATCCTGTTTGACCCGAATCACCCACTACCCTTCCACACCTGTTACTCTCCACAAAAGCTCCAACTCCAAATCCTGACCTTAAGCCTCTATTTTGACAGACAGGCAGCTCGTTAAACCATCCATTCTTCACTTGCCTATTCAACATGGCACTGCTCTGTTGCCTCGCTATTTGCTCTCTTCTGGATTGCTCAAACTACAACAATAATATCAGTAATTAGACAAAAATTGACCGCGGAAACCCACATAAAATTACATACACAAATGAAGAAATATCATACATGAGTAATATTACTGAAGCAAGAGTTGTGGGTTTTCATGGGGGCTGAAGTGTGGACCGGATTATGAACGCTCCGAGGCGGTCCGGGAAGGCCTTGATTTCGGGTGGGTCCAAAACCGCCACGCATCTTCATCCTTGCAACTTGGCCCGCTGCTTGGTATATCAGATTCCAAGCATCATTTTGAGCACCAAGCGGCGAAGTTGGGGGAGAAGACCCGTTTGGGCTACAATTGCTAGACACGGAGCTCCGACCGGACCAGCTTCCAATAAGGGTTGACTGGGGTGAGCCAGAGTGCACCCAATTTTTCTGAGTCACAGCAAAGTGCAAAAGTTAGAAATAGAAAGTGATAAAACAGAAATATGTAAATATTTGTATGAAGCCTTTACCTCGATTTGATGCTGGGGAAGGTTTGAGTTAAGAGTCATACGAGTTAACTGACGAGTTAACCCAGTAAGAGCGTCTTCCTCGTCGCTCTCAGTCTCAGTGGAAGCAACAAAAGAGTCAACAGGAGAACCCAACGCCGGAGGACAAAAATCATAAGGGAAATCAGTGGGGAAACAGAGATTCAAGTCTGAGAAATCATTCTTGCGTCCCTCCGTCTTCTTCAAGTTCCCAAGTCCCAAGAGTATTTCGTCGTCCGTTAGGAACTCAGAAGGCAACCAAAACTCTGGTTCTTCAAATTTACTAGCCATGGCAGAAATCAAAAAAGAAGCAAGTGGATGGAGGGAGAAAAAAGAGTTTGAAGTTTGAAGATATGAGTAGTACAAGAGGTTGCTGGTTGAAGAAGATATAATAATGAAGGAGGGAAGTGTGGGGTATTTTAGGATTAAGAGAGGGGCCCAAAGGCAAAAGAGAGAAAAAGGAGAAAAGAGGAAAACAGGGGGAGAAGTGGAGGAATGTTGAGGACAGTGGAGGGTTGCTTTTATTAAGGTTTCAGGGTTATTTTGAGACACGCATTCAAAAATCAAACGGCGTCTCCTTGCTTTATTTATTTGTATTTATATTTATTCCTTTTCCAATTTCTACAATTTTTCTCCACTGTTACTACGGAGTAGTATGTGTTAAGGGTAGTGGGGTGGCCCACTTAGTAGGGGGTTTTATAAGGAAAAGGAAAAGATTGCCCTTATTTATGCAATTAATGGGGAACAGTAGCAATTACATTTGTCCTTTCTCATGCAAATTTGTTGCCACCTGGTGTAAACCGCACACTGCAATAGTAACTACAGTTACCGCTTTAATCGCTTTAGATGACGGTCCTGCATTTTCTATCAACGTTTTTTCTAACAGAAAAATGGCTAAATGGTTTTAATACTAATTGGGCAAACGTACGTATGAATAGTAAAAATATAACAACAACCCAGTATAATTTTATTAGTGGATCTGAGAAGGGTAGTGTGTACGCAGACCTTACCCCTATCCTGAGGTAGAGAGGCTGTTTCCGATAGACCCTCGGCCCCCTCCCTCCAAGAACTCTCCACCTTGCTCTTGGGTAACTCGAACTCACAATTTGAAAATTAGATTTGTATTTGAATATAAATATAATTTTGGATTGTTTTTGAATTTTTGTGAGTGATCTGAGTTAAAAATTTTAAAAAATAACTTTTTAAAGTTTTTCAATTTTAAAAAAAAAATTAAAATTCATCGTCGAGTGAAAATTAAAAATTTTATAGCCAAACATTTATTTTGAAAAAAAATAAAAAATAATCAAAAAAAAGTAATAAAAAAAATTCACGGCCAAACGGGCTCTAAGTTCATTTATTTTACCCAAACAAGGAACAAAATATTAGCGTAAAGTTCTAACGTGCATCCTTAATTTGAAAGAGAGGGGGAGGGGGGAATGATTTCACCTTATAGGTATTTAGTTATGCCTCGGTCCACTTTTATTTGTTCACCATGAAGTATGAACTTTACACATTCTTTAAGAAATAATAAATGAATGCATAATTTATCATGATATTTATATTAATTTAATTGATGTATATTTTTAATAGATTAGAGAAAATAATTTGCAATAAATAATTAATATAATTGGTATAACATGAAAAAAAAATTGTACTCTCTTGATATGTTAAAGGTGACAAGTAAAAGCGATAATTTATTTTTAAAATATTGGACAAATAAAAGTGAACGAAAGAAGTACTAGTCTGACCCAAAATTAGAAATTGATAAGTATTTATCTGCACTTTTTATTATACCAAATGATAATAGTTTACATAATTAAAATTATAATGAAAATATGGACATATACTATATATCTACCACCATTGATCGTTTGTATAGTTATGAGAAAAACTATAACTAGCCTTTGCCACACTGCTGACATTTATAACGCAAGAATAAACCATTATCGGCATTCTGAATTCCTTTTTTATTTCTGCCAATTGCCAATTATTTTACCCTCCTAGTAAAAGCTAATTTCATCATTCAAAAAGACTCGGCCTTAACCACCGATATTAATCAAATTTATTTAATATTAAAGTATAAAAGAATGAATCCCTCAACGCAATTGATTTTCCTTTTTTCACCTCAGCATATTTGGTACACCGGTGATTCTTCATCAGCTATAACTAATTACACAAATACTAACCTTGTCAATGGTCCCTTAGGAAAAGATAAACACAATCATTAGGACATATGCAAACATCATGGCCGGTTTATTATTCTCTTGATTGTGTTCAAGTAAAAAGTTAAAGTTAAATTTGTAATGTGATTTAAAAATAAGTGAATCGATTTGACCCAAAAATACGAAATTGATAAAAATAATAATAAAATTATGACATAGAATTAAAGAAAATACAAGCCTACTTAAGTGTTTAGCTTCTCCGATAGCAATGGCAAGAACAAAATTTAGAATGAAATAAAGAAAGCAGTTCTATTGAATGAGAGCAGATTATAGTTTTTTCGTACATAATGTTTCGTGTCTACCAATTATGCTAATTCCTCTATTTATAGCTTTATTTAGGGAGACAATATACTCAAATCAAGCTCCTCTAAATGAAAATAAAACTGTCATTGATGATTGCATAACGGTTAGCTATAAATGCAAATATTCCCTGTAACGGGTGCATAACGGTTAGCTATCCGATGTCAATATTTTGAATCTTTATCACTGGCTATTGTCTTTGGAATTCACCTAGTACCGGTCACATGCTTGCATCCGGTGCCAGTTATTTGCTGACTCACGTCCCATCTGTCTTCAGTTTTACGTGTCACTTCGTCATTCGTTCAGCTGTCTCTAACCAATTTTGTCCCATACAGATAGTCCCCCTGCTCATCGATGACGCAACTTAGTATTACCGGGAAGTAGATAAGAGTTCTTTTTGCGGGAAAGTTCCTGAACAGTCTCTTGAAAGGACGCACATCTTCTTGCATTTAATGACTAGAATACGTGTTGTTCCGTGATTCAGCAAATATTTCCACCAGTTTTTGAGGTAATCATGACCATGATTTTTACCGTCTATAACTTTTCCAATACTCCTTATTTTTACTTTTTACTTTTACAATTCCCTCTTCTTATTCAACTTACCATAGAACCCTACTTGCAAACTTCATCTTTCTCATTAAAAATTTTCTCCACAATTTTCTTACCATCATGTCTTCTAACACTATTGCCATGGGAAACTCTGGCCCTATCTTCGATGGAGGCCCAAAGAAAAACAAAACAAATGAGACAAATGTTAAGTCTGAACCTCATACCGCAAACACCATCATACCTCTTCATCGTAGCACGAATTTTGACCTTCAAGAACAAAAAGAACCTGCAAATCCAAAAAGTAATAGACACTAGCATGTTCGCATATACCATTCTTCTATTCGTCCTCCTAGCATCCCTGTCGTGAAGAAGGATTGTAGTTGGAACAATATTAAAATCCTCACCTCTAATGAGGTAGAAAGGGTCACCTTCTCCAAACCAGGGTTCATGTATGTTTAAACATACCCTTTTACTTTGAGAGTAGGGGAAGGAATTGACCCAATAATCTTAGAATTCTGTCACCGGTACCAAATATATTTGGCACAAGTAGGTCCATCTGTATAGCTGATATTAGGCAGAAAATGCATATATTTAATTATTGTTGCCTCACATTCTATTACTTTTAATCATCTTTTGAGTATTAATTATATTATTTTATGCTTAATATTATATTTTAACTGTGTATGAATGAAGCGGTACGAAGATGAAGAAATTTGAAGCAAAATTAAATAAAATGCGAAAGAAAAAGAAAGAAAAATAAACTAATATAAAAAGGAGAAAAATGGGGGGACACCATTTGGATTTTGTGCCCCGAGTGGAAGACAGCAAAAGAGAAAGTTACAATTAAAAGAAAAATTAAAATAGCAACGTAAAAAAGCGCACTTCCTCCGGCGCCACGGCCAACGCCTAGCGCAGGTCTGGACGTTGTGATGCATGATTTTTCCTATTTCGCACGGGACAAGGTTATTTCGGCCAAGACTCCTCCCAACTCGTATAAAAGCANTTTTTCTATTTTGCTCGGGACAATGTTATTTCGGCCCTATACAGTCCCAACTCGTATAAAAGGAGTTCAAAACCTAATTTGGTGGGGATCGAACATACTTTGAAGGAGAATTCACGTGGGGGAACACACACCACGCTTGAAGGAGGCTTCTAATTAGTTTTTCTTCTCTTCTCTTCCTTTAATCTCATAGTTTATTAGTTCTAGAGTTTTTGGGTGCTACATGAACGTTGTAGTTTGAAACTTGAATTGTTCTTATTATTTTATCGTTTTGGTTTATTTATTCAATCTTGCGCTTAATTATTTGATTGATTGATCCCCAATTGAATACTATCAACGAATCTAGGATTGAACTCGGGAGAGTGAATTCTAGATTGCATGTAAGATTGACTAGAGCAAGATCTTAACTCTGAGGGGGGCGGATTTGCCGTTAGGATGGGAATATACCTAATTGCCTTGCTTGGTTACTATACAGGAATTATTAATGCGTTCTTGTTAATTCTAATTCCATAGGAATATAGACATTAGATTAGCTTGAATAGGCGAGTAGTACTTCGGGAGAAGGCTGCAAGCAATATTAACCCTGTCAACAAATAAACCAGATAAATTAATTAGATGATTTAAGTGGAAAACTCAACGGGATTGTTAGCTAACCCATAGCTCTAGAATATTTTATCCAATTGAATTCATCTCTAAGATTGCAGACTTGTTTCCTTTAATTTCATAGTTTACTATTCTAGATTAGTTTTAGTTAAATATTCATATTTTAGAAAATTGCTTGAGGAGATTAATTGTCTTAATTTAATTTAGTTGATAGTTAATCACAAGTCTCTATGGGTATGATATCTGAACTTACAATCCTATATTACTTGTCGACCACGTATACTTGCGTGTGCGTTTGGGAGCTATAATAGTGTACGGTGGATTGCCTCCGCCATTGTACTCTGAGACCGGGGAAACCCTAACTCTTGGGCATATGATGAACCTCTACTCCCCTAAGATCTTCCGCGGGGGTGTGCTAAAACTCAGTAAATGCGGTCATCATGCCCTTCTCACCAGCGTCGATGATGATAATGAATGTGGATAGATGGAACGGTTCGTTATTATTGCTACCAGGGACATCCTCCCGGCCACATCACCTGTTATTCTTAAATCATGGAACCTTTTCCGTAAGTCTTCGAGTATCTATTTTCTTTCCATGTTTTAAAAATACTTTCTTTTGTTACTAACTTTATACTTTCCATATTCCAGCTACTCATTGTAAACCATTACGGGTTCAAGATATGGCCCAATAGGTACAAAAACATCTTGATATCACTACACCAGAATCCCGAAGGTAGAAAGAAATGGCTCCCAAATATGGGTGGAAAGCCGAAAACCATGGTAAACAAAGATTCTTCCTTCCTTCAATCTTACCAAATAACTTAGAAACTGTTTAT